AAAAGTAAATCAGAGCTAAAAAAGTGTAAAAACGCAGGCAAATTTGCCTGTATTCTACTACAATCTAAGGGATAAAAAAATTAAATATAATTGACAAAATAAGATAGATACTAGAAAATAAAAAAAACAAGCTGCTAAAATAAAGTCAAAATTAGATTCAGATTGGAGCAAGAGACTTTAAAAACAAAGAATAAATCAACAAAAACAGTATAATAAAACAACCTTGAAGACTATAGTACAACAATTCAAGGAATTTGACAAAAATATAGCAGTAAATCAGTATGAAATAAGAAAAAAAAAAAAGAAAATACAAGTTTAGCAAAAAAAAATCAAGCTACAAAAATATAGTTAAGAAAATAAAATAGATATTAGATAGTAGAATTATACAAGTTTTTGAATTAAGATCAAAAGTAGAATTAGACTAGAGCAAAAGACTTCAAGAACAAAGAAAAATTTAACAAAAATAGTACAATAAAATAGCTCTGAAGTTTATAGTATAACAATTCAAAAAATCTATTAAGACTACTATAGCAAACTAACAAGAGATAAGAAGAAAAGTCAAAGAAGAAAAGAAAAATGTAAGTTTGGCAAAAAGAAAAGCAAGCTGCTAAAATAAAATTGAAGTTGAACTTAGACTAGAGCAAGAAACTTTAAAAACAAAAAAAAACTTGACAAAAGCAGTATACTGTAATCAAATAGCATTAAGAACTCTAGTAATACAGTTTAAAATATCTGTTGAATTCACTGTAGCAAGCCAAGATAGAAAAAAAAAAAAAAACCAAAGAAGAAAAAAAAAGAAAAGCAAAAGACAAGATATTCTAGATCTCACAGAAATAAAAATGCTAAGTAAGATTCAAGAAGAAACAAGACCAAAAATCATATTAACAACTCTGGCAGAATAGTTAATAGAAATAATATAACAAGCTAGTATTAAAGACTCACAGCTCAATAATAAAATATGGAAAAAAAAAAGATTTGCTTGCAAAATAGATATATAGTTGGAATTTAGATATAAATTTGTTTTAAGATAATATATTAGTATCTAGATCAAAGAGAACCAAAAATTAGAAAAAAAAAAATACAATACCAAGTCTTAGAAGAAAAAGAAAAAGAAGAAGATAAAGAAAAGAAAAAAAGAAAACTTCTAGACCTAGGTTACAAAAGAAAAAAACTTGAGCAAACAGACCAAGACTCAGAAATGAATAAACCAAAAGAAAACCCAAGATATTTAGAGAAAAGAAGAATCTACAAAAGAATATTCTTGGAAGAAACTTATAGAACAAGTATTCAAAAAAGAAGAAAAAAAATATAGAGCTGTGAAACAGGAAGAAAAGACTGAAAGCCAGATTCTTGATTGAAAAAAACAGGTTAAACTAAAGGAAGAGGAAAAAAATGCAACTACAAACAAAAAAATTCTAATAATAACCCTTGTTTAAAAGAAAAAATTAAATTGTTTATTATTAAAAAATTAGATTTAGAACATTATTTTAAAAAGAAAGATAGTTTAAAAAGAAAAATTGCCAACTAAATTTAGTGAAAAATTCTTTCAATTTGAAACCATCTTGTTATAGTTTTGCTAGTTAGCTTGGTACAACTCTCCAATATAAGCAATAATCTTAATTGGTGAGGTATATTTGCTTTGATTTAATAAAGATACTAGTGAGGCTGCTAATACTAGAAAAAAAAACTATTTTAAATAATTTAAATAAAAATTTTATAGAAATTTTGTATTAGTTATCTAATCTTAAATTTTATCATATTGGTCTATTTGTTTTGATCCCAAAATTAGCTAATCATGATCGAGAATTATTAAAAAAATTTTTATAAAAATTTATTGCAAAGTGAATTTTTACAAAAACAATCTTTTTAACTAGCCTTGTATTTCTAATTAAATATATAGAAATTTACAAAATTTATATATTTAGTTATAAGCCAAAAGTAAGTTAAAAAGACTGTTTTTTAAAAATTAACTTTTTAATTTATCTTTGTGAGTTACCAACAATCAAACAATATACAACCAATCCTCAAATATCTAAATATTTTAATAAAAAGTAAAAGTACTTCTTTTTACAGCTTAGCTTAGTTTCTTTATTAGTTTTTATTAGTTGTTTAGCTAGTCTAAATATTAAAAAAAGCTTTTTGTTAGTTATGATAAGTACTTTATTTGTTTCTTTTTTAATATCACTTAGAAGCAAATTTTTATGTAACAGTTTATTGAAAAAAAGTTCAAAAAATTAAATTAATTCAAATCTATATAAAGATATTGGCAGGTACAATAAATAAAAATAATAAACGAAAAAAAAAAATAAAAAATAAAATCAAATAAATAAGAAAAATTAGAGTATATATATCTATCAGTTAGATAATCAATGTATTCTATTGGTTGATTGTATTAGGTTGATCAATTTGCTTTTTCACAAAAATTGTTTTCCTTCTGTAATTTTGACCAATTAAATTTCAGGATGAGGTATAACATAAAACTCAAAATAAATATATTTTTTTATACAAAAACAAGAATAACTCTAAATTTTAATTAGAAAACCACCTTTTGTGGCCTAATTAAAAATGTTTCTCATAATGTTTTACTTATAAGCATTACAGGTCACTCTTGTTAATATCAACCCCTGTTAATATCAATCTAAGCCACATAACAAATTTTTATAAATTTTTATATATCAAAATTCCCTCATATATATCAACTTTAATATGATTTCTTATTAATATTACTATCAACATGATTTAAAACCAATTCAAATAGGTTGATATTAACAAGAGTAACCTGTATATTATTCTAATTAATGATACCTGACAAAACTCACATGACCTGACGAAACTATGACAAAACATATGAGTTACGTCAATTCGTCATGATGAAATATATGAGTTTCGTCAATTCGTTAACAGCAAAATAGTTTCATTAGGCATCTATAGTTCTAATTCTAACCCTAATTATAACACGGGTTTCTTGATTTTCATTTTACATGTAACTTTTTTATTTAGAAAACAAACACGTTTGTTTTATACCTGATCTTAAATTTTGATTAGTCAAAATTACTGGAGATTACTAATTTTTTGTGGAAGTGCTACCTAATATCAAAAAGATGTATACTATATATATATTTTTGATGTAGATCAAACGTAATCATCAACCAATTAAATTAGTCAAAATTTTAATATTATCAATAAAACTTTGGTTTATATAATTAAACAATACAGCAATGTTGTATGTCGGAAAGTAAATTCTGATTATTCAAAATATCATTTTTGATCTATCTAAATTAAAAGTAATATATTAACAAAAACAATAACATTAAATAACTAATAAAATTTTGCTTATTTAAATAATCATACATCAAGAATGATACATTTGATGACTAGAATTTACTACAAGTGACTCTCATTATAGTGAAGCCATTGGGCTGTAAACTTTTCTTCACAATATCAAGAGATTCACTATATTAAAGGTTTCTTAATATAGTAAAGATAATATATAAAAATATAAATCTTCACTATATCAAGAGAAATAATATAAACATATATTTATATTAAAATTTATTTTTATATTGTCAATACTATATATCCTTTACATAAATTAGTTGGCTGTAAAGAATTTTTCTTGATTATTTATTTAATATCAGTATTAGTATCAAGATTAAGCGTATATTAAAAAAAATTTCTGTGCCTTAACAATATGTATACTTTGTATACATACTACATGTGAAATTTAAAATTTTGAATTCATTTGTTTTGTACATACTTAATATGCGCTGCAGCTACCAGAATTTATATACATCGTAAAGCCCGACCACAGCCTTCATATTAAAATTTATACAATTTATACACTGGCATAGTTATGTGCTATTTCAAAATATGAATTTATTAGAAATAGCAAAAGAAAGCCTACTTATATCTTGCAAATTACAACCACCCAAAGTTATTGTCTTGAGAAATGATATAAAAATGAAATATTTCATTTAACTAACTATTGCTTCTTTAATGCTTATAATACTATTCTAAATTTAATCATTCAAAAAATTTTAAAAAATTTTCAAAAAAAGATCAAAAAAAAAAATCTAAAAAAAAAGATCCAAAAAAAAGAAAGATCCAAAAAAAAAATTTAATTTGCGCCCAAAACAAATGAATCTAAGGTAGCTTGTCATTGTGAAGCAATATTTTCAATCTCAATTCTTTTTTTAATTTTCCTAAATTTTGAATGAGTGCATTATCAATTTTAAAAGTACTATCTGGTTGCTGCTCAAAAAACAATAAGATCTTATCAATAAATTCTAAGGCTTGTGCAAAAGATATTGGCTTATTTGAAATTTCATTTTCTGGTTCAATACATTCATGGTTCTTTACAGCTTCAATTATCTTATCATCATTCAGCACTTCAGTGGTAATAAGGTTGTTATTGGAATTTACATACTCTTCTGCATTCATAGGCTGGTCGAGAGGTAAGCATATAATCAAATCCTAGATCTCATTAGTAATATCTGGTTCATTAATTTAGACAAGCTCTTCAGACTGGAACAATTCGGTAAAAAAATCTTCCGGCAAAATACTAGTTTTTCTCCAACAGTTACAGATAGTCCTGGATGTCACCTTTTTTCAAGCAGCATCAACAAAGTTGATCACATCTTTAATAGTTATTGGTTTAGAAGAACTACTACTAAATTCCAAAAAAGTATCAAACGCATCTATACGATCTTTGCAGAAAATTCTTTTATAATTTGTCTATATTACAAAAAGCTGTTATTAATTCTCTAATAAAATATTATAACAATACCCAATATTGAATATTTCACTAATGTGTTCTATCATTGC